TATATATATATATATATATATATATACAGGTATATATATATGAAAATTCTATTTTCAAAACTTCTAGCATTTGTAACTTAGTAAATGCTTTAGTCAGCTGTTGCCATCCCTAATTTTAAACTTCTGACTGTAAGAAAGGCAGTCAGCCAGCAGCACCCACTGCCAATTCTTGGGCTACTCTTTACCAACTAATAGTGAAATTGGCTGTCACATTACAACTGAAAGGGTGAGCGTGTCTGGCACCAGGCCTATTTAATATCATATCTCACTATGTATGTGGTTTATATCTGTTTCAGAATGTTATGTTATTTATGTTTTAAAAAAAGTTAGTTTCCATGGTCTTATTGTAAAATTGCTCTCAGTTAAAAATAAATCTAAAAAAAATAAATGTAGGTAATAAAACGTCTTGTATTTCTCCACATATTTTTACAATACACATATATCTGAAAAGCTGGGATAATGTACTAAATGCATTTCCAAGTATTTTTCTTATATGAAACTGAAATATACCAAGAAATTTCTAAAGAGCAATGTCAGTTAATAATCAGATAATCTTTTCATTGTAGTCTCTTGGTGGTTCAGCAAGTCAGAGGGCTTAAAATGCTAAAAGTTTGATTTAAATTCTTGCAGTGGCCAGAGCACAAATAGCCCATTGTGTAGCGTTGTGCTTAACAACAAACAATTAATTTATTCTGCAGGCAGAAGACATGAGCAACCTCATGAATAAAGTCAGAAGGAAAGAGTCTTTACAAAAGTTCTATAATATGCTGAAGCGTGATGTAGAGTTAGAAAGAAAAGGAAAAGAAGGTAAGCAAAAAAAGATGTATTCCAGTCAAACATTTAATTATTGCCTAACAGCAAAAACATGTCTTAAGTTGGTTGAAACATTCATTTCAAATCTTAAAATTATAATTTAATATATTTTCACATTTAAGTTCCTTCCCCACTCAGTGCTTTTGTAATTAAATATTATATACAATATTGTGTAAAAATAAATATAAGTAACTCAGATTTATAAATTTCAAAGAATATGATTGTGATTGCTTTTTGTAATTTTGTTTACATAAAATAGAGGTAGAATTTAACCTAGACCAACTTATATCTAGAGAAAGTAAGTAATTTATAATTCATAACTGTAATATAACTTAAAACAACCCAAAATGATTTAAACCTTTATTTCAAGAATGTCATATATAAGCACTTATAAAAATATAACACTGTGAAAAAGTTATTTCTTTTGTGTGAACTAATATTTACTATCTCTGTAACTTTAGTCTTTTCCAAGCTTAAAAAAGTCCCATTCCACTGTAATTTATGTAAAATGCTGAAGTATCAGACCCATATTGTGAGTTTGAGTATGAACAGTACTTGTTTGACACTCACAACCCCTCTTATTTGTCCAGTTGCACATGCTAGCAACACAACAATACTGTGTGTATTCAGTTTTACCACTTTGTTATTTTCTTTTTTGTGATTTGTTTTATTTTAATATGGGCAAAAGAAGCAACCAGTTACAGTATTGGACATACAATTATAAATGATGTGACCATTTGTTAGTGAAAATTGAAATTCAGAGGAGGAAAGTCATAAAAAATGCAAAAAGCTTGGATATATTACATAGTTTACAGTTACTCTAATATCAGTTTTCTAGGGAACTTGGTTCAGAATTGATATTTGCTAGTGTATTCTTAACATTTGAAATTTAAAATTTTCAATACCAGAAAAACAAAATAGGAACTTGATATGATTATTGTTTGGGATGTGTCAACTTCCTATGAATACAATTTACTCTTGATGTATCATTTATAGCCCACTAATGTTTGTTTTAATTTATTATTAATGACTGTAACTGGGTAATTTGATTTAGTTCATTATGACAGTAACTGTGAGTGTCAAAAATAATCTAAATTTTTCTTTAAAGCTGTTTCAGAGTGTGTCTTTCACTTGAAAGCTTTGGTGCTAAAAGCCATTCAGGGCTGATCTATAAATAGATATAACTGTGAATTTAACATATGAAATTTTTATGAAGCTAAAACACATTGAATGTAAGTGAATGAATCAAAATACTAAATGTTAAACATTTGTACATATATGAAAGAAAATCACAAAGCAAAACTGGAATGGAAGGCAATTGCCTGTTGTAAAAAACACAAGTGTAGAGGATGATGTTTCAAATTTCTTCTGCTTTTGTCTTTAGATGGAAGACTTTCTAAGCATCTTCCTATACATTTGTGTTTTTTACAACAGGCAGTTGCTACCCATTCCAGTTTACTCATCATGAACACTCATGAATATAAAGAATCACAGAGCTGTTTGATGTAAGTTACTTATTTAATTAATGTAAGAATAAGTGATAGATTGTGACAATGCTAAAGCATTGGTGTACAAGAATAGAAACTCAAGCTGTAAGCATAAAAAACTATCAACTAGTAAAAAATAACGTATATTTCAGTACTTTTTACACTGATTATATGTACAATGTAGGAGAATGTAAATAATTTATATTGTATAATCTAGCTTTAGCAGTCTTTAAAATGATTTTTGATTTTTTCATGTACTTCTTGCTAAGTTTTCCACATGAGAAAAGTAATATGTAAAAAATGTTTAATCATAAAGTATACATCCAACTGAAAAATGCCTTAAACCTTCATTCAATGTAGTCACATTATCTGTTAATATAAGAACTTATCCTCATAGGAGTTGAACATCTAGCAAGAGTGTTTCATGAGACACCAAATTTTGGTAATGCAGATGCTCAACAAGAAGTAACTGAGAAATTGTATCACGTAAGTAATGTATATATTTGTGATTAATTCATTTTAACTTGAAAAAGTTTATCTCACTTGTAATAAACTTTGGCAAATAATTTAGAAAGCATAACTTGTTCATTTGATTTCATACAAAATATTTCTTCATTTCTGAAATTTTAAGTTCAAAAATCAAGAAAATGTAAATGACTAAAGGAAATTATGTGTGTAGCACATGTAGATAAGATAAATTTAGAGGTAAAATGTATTTCTTTAACCCTATTGTGACTGGTGAATATCTTTAAGTGTACACCTGCTTATCACATTTTAAAATTTAATAAGAATAGTATTACGAACCCCATTTCAACAATATTAACTCAAAAATATTTTAAAATTAATATTCTGTCATTTTGTAACATTTTTAACATGACATCATAATGTGACAGTCAATCCCACTATTCATTGGTAAAAGAGTAACCCAAGAGTTGGTGGTGGGTGTAATTTATTAAAATAAAATTGAATCAAATGTTCAAAGTTGTGCTTTGATAGTAATTGTTCAAATCACATGTGCTGGCATTTTAAAAGGATGGGAATAAGGAGCTATAATAATATAACCAGCAAAAAGGAAAGGAAAACCACTTGAGAAACAATGCATAAATAGTTATATTCTTAGTAGATGATAGTTTTTTAGAAAATATAAATGTATGCTGTAGGGGTGGGCAAGTATTAAATGCATGTTTTATGAGTAAAACTCTTTGGAGCTGTGCAAGAATTAATAGTATTGCAGGAAGTGACAAGAATCAGCTTCTGCAGGATGAACAATAGAACCTAGTGACATGTTTAGAAGACTTGGGAACAAATCACAAATCAGGGAATTATTTTATAGTTTCTTTTTACATTTTTAGTTCCTTGAAATGTTTTTGTGGTGAGTTAAGTCTGTTTGAAAGTTGTGGAAATTTTCTTCTATGACAAGACATCAGAGGATGTCAAAATATTATAATGACTCAAATCATTATTTATTTAATAATGTAAAATTTAAGTATTTATGGTAAGTTGTTTTGGTTTAATATCAATCATTGTCATGTTTAATAGCCCAGTCAGTCACCAAAGTCTAATTATTATTTAGTGATGTTTTGTTTCTTAATTATAAAATACTAAATACTAACTAGTTTTTCTTATACATTTCAGGTGCGGCCCGGCATGGCCAGGTGGTTAGGGAGCTCGACTCGCAATCTGCTGGTCGTGAGTTCGAATCCCCGTCACACCAAACATGCTCGCCCTTTCAGCCGTGGGGGCATTATAATGTGACAGTCAATCCCACTATTCGTTGGTAAAAGAGTAGCCCAAGAGTTGGCAGTGGGTGGTGATGACTAGCTGCCTTCCCTTTAGTCTTACACTGCTAAATTAGGGACGGCTAGCGCGGATAGCCCTCGTGTAGCTTTGTGCGAAATTCAAAATAAACAAACATTTCAGGTGATATTCTGCTACTGTCTTCCGAAAATTTCTGTGTTTGTTGAGGCTGAGATTTGATCTTGGTTTTTTTTTTAATGGAACCCTGTTTTTTTTATCTACTCGACTGGGGTAGTAGTCTCCCTTATTAGAAATTCAATCAAATAACTATTTGAATGTTTTTCAAGAGGGGTATCCATGTTTTGCTGACATCTGTACCAGAGTATTTCAAATTCTAATGGAGGAGATTCCAATCAAGTGGGTAATGCTCTAGACTTCCATCAATAAACCCAGGATTGAATCCTGGCTTCTACCAATACAGAAAATAGTCCTTTTTAGGAGTTCCCTGAAGAATGCAGCAGATTAGCAGCCAAACATAGGATTAAAACTAGTAACTAATTAGTGTCTAATAATTTGAAAATGTTACTAATTAATAATCAGAGTTAGGTAATTGTACTGACTACTGATCATAACAGCAATTGCTAAATTGAACATATTCAAACAATGCACTTAAATAAAAGCTTTTATTGAAAAGAAACTGTTTGTTACATATAAACTGTTTTGAACCAAAAATATTGTTACTGAGCCTGACAAAGGTGCTGGTGACACCATTTTGAAAAGTCAAGTCTTAGGTCATAGTTAAATATTTGTCAATTTTTGCTATGTTTTTTATTTTATATATATAGCCAGAAATAGTAACTTTTAAGTAACAAGTACTGAAATATATAATTAGTAATTAATATAATGTTATTACATAACCTTTTGTATTTTTCAATATAAAATATAATTGGTAGAATCACAAAAACAAAGATTAATTTGCTATTTTGCATCTTCAAGGCCATTTCTTACAGGTTTTCACAAAAAAGTAATTTGTTTATCCTTTTCCAGAGTTTATGTATTCTGTAAACAATTTTGAACATTATTTACATTTCTTTTACAACTTGCATAAGCCTAGAGATAAGTACCTTTTTTCCTGTATCTATTTTTAAAATATCCTCCAGTTCCAAAAATATATAATAATTTCTATGTATTTTGATACCAAATTATATCTACCTATACTGATATAATGTTTAATTTTTTTTCCTACTAAATCATTGCTAGTTACAGATACCCTCCAAGTGTTGTGACTTTAATGATTATCAACAGTTAACTTTTCAAAGAATCATTTTCATTGCTACGTGAAAGAAGAAAAAATTACTGAGAAAGGGAGTTGCAATACTACATTATATGACTTCACTTTGACAATAAAGTGCAATAATGTGATTTCTTAGCCATGGCATAATGGTTCATAGAATGGCTCTGAGTTTTTCATAGCTTTTAGCTCATAGCTCCATTATCTCTTGACCGATTTAAGATCTAATTACAGTTCAGGACTCAGGAGGTCAAACCTTTTCAATTGATGTATTTGATCATACCCAAGGTCTCATAGATTAATTTACTCTAATCTTGCCTAAAAGAATTTCAATTTGAGGGTAGGTTGGTAGAGATCCTGATGAATAATAAAATCAAATCCAGTATATGCGTGCCTCACACTCGTTATTGCTGCTGCACAAAAATATAACTAATATTAAGGAAAAAAAAGGTCTCATAGATTAATTTACTCTAATTTTGCCTAAAAGAATTTCAAGTGCCGTGGCTATTGAGGATTCCCTCTTGTTTTTGAATGGCATTAAACAATTTGGTAACACCACCTTAGACCTTAAATTTGGTAATCATAAATGCTAATTTTTCATTGATATGTTTTATTTTTTCCAAAATGTTGAATAGTTTTCACCCTAAAAACTGTGCCTTGTCATACTTAAGATGTTATTAGGAAAAACTAAGAATTAAAATATACTATATTACAGTATCTTATTATTCATTGTAAGTTTTTGTTTTTTAAGTAATAAAATGCATATACTTTTTTTTTGCAAACTTGATGTAATAATATTAGATTTACTTATTATCATGAAAGTTAGTAGAGAAAACATAACATTTTATTATTCTTAAACAATTATTGAAGAACCACCTTAACTTCCCATTGTAAGACTTTTGTATACTAATTTAATGCTCAAATTATTGTTTTATTCATTGTGCAGCTTCGTGCAATGCTGGCTTTCTTGGAAGCTTCTCTCCATAAAGTGGAATGTGCCCTTGCTGACTTGGATGACAACAGTAAACCAACTCACCCATTAACTGCACATATAGACCAGTACAGAGACAAACAGGTTTTTTATATATCTACAGTACATTTTTCTGTGTTAATAATAGAGACAGTGGTGTTAAAATCTGTTTACTAATAACTGACTGAACATTGAGGATAATCTTTTTTTACAAGTAGGCTAAAGAGTCTTAGTGATGGCTTAAAGATTCATTTATGTTGAAATAAAACATTTTTATGATCCTTATCATGCCTTAAAGATTTCATGGAATTTAATATAATATTTTCTTATTGTTATTTTCATACATTTCAAAAATATAAATTGTATATGTGATCAGTGATTAGTGGCTTGGAACTACTTTTAACATTTTGTTGTTAATCAACTTTGTCTTCAAACTAAGTGGTTTACGTGTATATATATTTAACCCTTTCGAGACAAGTCACAGGTGAAAGGCCATGTCATCTCATTTGTTGACTTGCATTCAAAATTTTATTGAACTACTATTTCGTGAATTTATGCTAATAAGTTTGATACCAAACTGTAGATTATAATTCAAGTTTTAGAACTATACATTACTTAATTTGTTGATTTAAAAGTAAATATTTAAAAAACACAGATAAACATCAATTTTTGTGTGTCACATGGTATGTTGAATGCAGCACTAGTTCAAATTAGATGTTTGTGAAGTCAAAATACTAGGTTTATAGTTTCATACGAATCAGAAACTCAAATTACAGATATTGATAAGTGAGAATATAAAATAAGAATTACTTATCTTTTCTACTTGCTAAAATATTGCTCACATAATAAATCAAATACAGTGGCACCCTGCTCACCTCTTTCCATTTTTGGAAATGCTCCTTTATATACACGTACTTCTATATATGACATGAATAACCAATCTGAAGCTCAGAATGTCCCCCTAGTATTTTTCTCAGCCTTTCTAATGTTCTTTCCACCATTTCTTTCTTTTGAATCAAGATTTCAATTTGGTAGGTTGTGTCTTTAGTCTGGTTGAAATTTCATATTTTTTTAGACCCAAATACAGCTTAGTTACTAAGCGTGATAAATTATAGTAGAATTCTATGGTATTGATGTAGTAATTTATGATTTTTTAGTTCTTCAAAATATATATGAAACCTAAAAAAAAAATTTCTTTCATAAATCCTAAAATCCTAAAAAAACCTCCAGAATGACCAAGACATTCTTTAAAGATAAATTTCTACTAGTATCTAGTCAATACTCTTCACCCTACCTACTCTTCTGAATCTTAAGTTTTTTAGTCTAAAAATTAATTGATAAAACATAATTGTGTACCTAGCCATACTCCAATTCATACTGATCCTAACAAATTTTAATTATAAACTGTTTGGTCAAGAAACAAAAACAAATGTTAAAAGTTTCAATAGCAAATCATGCATTGGGTGGGTGGGTGAACACAGATATGGGAGTTATGAGATTGTTTTTTGTGCTTTTTTCTGCCAGATTAAAAATCCTTCTGAAAAACAACAACAATATAATATAATGATAACAGTTAGAAATGGAACATTTAAAAATCATCAGCTAATAAATAAATCTGTGGTGTTTCACTAGAATAGGAGGAAAATCTTTATGAATTTTCCCCCAGCAATTGTCTGTTTCTACAATAGCTGATATAGTTATCAAATTATTATAATTTGAGTTAAAGATGCCGTTTTTTATTTTAAAAAACTGTTTTAATTAATACTAACAAATTAAGGCCTGATATTTTAAATTCGTATGTCTTCTTCACCATTTAAATTCTGCTGAAGCAGAATACTTTTATAAATTAGAATTTCCTGAGAAAACTAAGAAAGAGAGAAAAGGGAAAGAAAAGCTCACAAATATTTTGTTTTTGTACAAGCTAAACAAAAACAATATATTTAGCAGGTGACAGGTATAACTATCATTAGTTTCTGCAGTGAGAAGTTTTATTCCAATGCATCAATGTATATTTACTCATTAGAAGTCTGTGAAGTAAAACAATACAAGTATTTTTACAGTTGTTTTAATGTTAAGTAAGAAAATTATTTGAAACTTGTCACTTGTATTGGCTGCAATAATAATGTTTCGGAACAGTCATATTTCATTTTTTCTTCTGTTTCCTTGTGGAAGTAAACTCATCAAAATATTAAAAAATTAAATTGCCACAGTATTGTAGAAAAACTATGTATGTACAGTTAACTTTGACAACTTTGTGAGGGTCACAACTTTGTATAGCTGCTTCCATTCAACAATCTAAACAAAAAAGAAAATTTTACTTTGAATTACAGGATCATTAAATCTCACCTGTTAGGCTGACAGATCTGGTTGTAGAAGAATTATTAATGTACCAAATGCTAAATAAACTTGGTCTAATAACTTGTATAGAGCTGAGAAATTTTTTGTTTATTTTTCATTTTCACAGGGTGTAATTCATTCAGTATTAAAGTTGCCAGATGTAGGAAGAACTCAACTTTTTAGTAATGACTGGTCTGAAAATGCTGATTTAGCAGAAATAGACAGAGGTGCAGGTGATGGGACATCTTTACCACCAAGTGATTGTGATGGTAAGTGTAATATTTTCACAAGAGTGTCATAGTTCTGGGCCTACAATATTTATATTTGTATACATATATATATATTGTTTTATTTTCTATTTTTTCAGCATTACTCATCAGATGTGATGAAAAATTGCTTGTGAGTTAGTCCTACCAAATAGGACTTTGAATTAAAGTAAACAACAGACCCATTTGCCACAGAACAAAACTTTATTAAAATAAACTAGTTGTAACAAAGATTAAAATAAATTGTTAATGAAATCTGTGCTTAGTACCATAGTGAGATAATAATGGTGGTATATCAAATCTTGTTTTTGTGAAGAAGTTGGTATAAGTTTTAAACCCAACTTTGTGTGATCATTTCTCACTGATATGTCAATGCATAAATCTGCTTTTAATACATGAACACCAATGTACATGTATATTTTAAGACTGAATTGTTGTCACGCCATAAAAGGTTATTGTACATAAGCTACTGTATGGCACCTAACCACCAAGATTTGTACCTTAAATAATTTGAAATAGTAACCGTAGAGGTACTTTGTTGAACCTGTTGTACCTTGTGGAAGACATTTTTATATTATCATTATGTTAGTACACTAAAATAAATGTAAAATGAAGAAGTTGTATGATTGTTAAGTTAGAATGAGGCTGCATGTATATCAAATTCAGTGGAAGTTTATAAAACAGTTACAGATCAGTATTGATATATTGTAAATCTAAATACTGCTAAATTTTGTAAATATTTACCTAGACAAGTTAACAAGTATAATATTATTATCAGGCCTTTATAATTGGCACTCAGTCCATGAATGTTTAAAAGTCAATTTGGAGTTTAAAAATTTTATTTATTTAACTTTCATCTCTTTTGTCATAATAAGTTACATTTATGTACAAAATACTGTGTATAAATAGACATAAGGTCGCTAAGATAAATTGTTCACAAGTTTATACATATTCCATTATACAGTAAGATAGCTTTATCAGTGGTTGTGATGATTTATTCATTGTATCCATAATATTTGACTCCATTGTAATGTTCTACAATGTAAAAATCTTCTTAATCTATGTACCATAATTGTTTGCCATGTTCTGCACTTGGCATATATGTATGTATTGCAGTAGCTAACAATGCAAACCTTTAGAGTTTTCAATAAAAATGATAATTTGGAGAGGATATTTAATGAATAAGTCCAAATTACTTTTTAAGCTTCCATCTACTGATGGTAAAAATCAAGACTTGCAAATCATTTGTTAGATCATTACACTAAAAACTAATTAATGTTAGACAAGTTCAGTCTATTCTTACATAAAACCCAATTCAAAGACTAGGATATTCTTGAACAGTTTGAAAGAGAGCATGATATATATATCTGTATAGGTTTGTTTGTTTGTTATTAAGCACAAAGCTACACAATGGACTATCTGTGCTCTGCCCACCATGGGTATCGAAACCCAGATTCTAGTGTTGTAAGTCTGCAGACATGCTGCTTTGCCACTGGGGGGCATCTGAACAGGAAAGTAGGAAAAAATTCCAAAAAAATTAGGTATAGATTCAGGTGATGTTGTTGTTCTAATACTTTGATCTCATTACTTGTGGTGCCAGATTGAATCCACAGCTAATAACAAATTTAATGATTAATTATTTTGTACATTTTCATATTAACTCAGTCATTCTGAAATAATTTATAATAAAGCTTTTAGCTAAGTTTTCTTTAATATATTGCTTTTTAAAACAAAGCAACTATTGATGACTTCTATGAGCCTTAAGGTTATAAAAGTAAAGGCTTATTTTTTGTTACATATTAAGAGACAAAGTTTTCATTTTGCTACCGTTTTTTGTTAATGTTAGTCAGTTTTGATCCATAAAATTATTTACACAATACAAATTTGACACTTTTAAACGTTTAATTTTTGGGGTAAAGAGAGAGGTGTATTCATAAAAATATGTTTGTAATTTAATTATTTGTGAAATAGGCTGATGTTGCACAGTGCATTTGAATAAGTCCCTTGGTGGCTCAGCTGTAAGTAAAACCTTTGATGAGTGGCAGAGCATAGATAGCCCATTATGTGGCATTGCACTTAACAACACTGAACAAAATGCATTTGCAATAAACTGTTTGCTAGATGTTAGTTTGCTTTCCAATAATTATTGTTTAACAGACCTGGTCATGTTTATTTACAATACATTATACACTAGCCCAAGTGGGAAATAACTAAGTATAATGAAAAGAAAGTGTACTTAATGAAAGAAAAGTTGTTAAAAATTTCTTCTCATAATAGAAGCTGCCTTCAACCATGTTTCTGAAATCTATGTCAACATCCAGACTCTACAGCTTACAGATAGTGAACCTGTAGGAGTATGTCAAGCATTATACTCTTACCAGGCTAAACTGGAAGATGAACTTACAATTTTTACAGGTAAGCAATAGTTTAGTGTAGACTCCAATAATTAAAAAAAAATAGGATACTGCTCAGCTATTTTACTGTGAAATTACTTTTACTTTAAATGAAAATAGAATTCGGCTATTGTCAGTAATGTTTTTGCCAAAAAATAGTGAAACACTTGTGATGATAAGACTTTTGAGTTAAATAAAATAAATAAAAATATGATTATTGCGATAAGATTTCTTCCTATACTAACATACTGAGGACATTCAATATTCCATATTATCTTTATATCATAAAATGTCAGAATATGACTTAAAGTTGAATTGATATTTCATGTTTTAACTTTCAATTGATTAATTTGTTCAACTCTTAGTGTAATCTTTTGTACAATCTTCACATTTATTGAATTAAGTAGATCAGATTAACTGACAAGCACTAATCTGAATTGGCTTATTGGGTTACAGGTGACATAATAAAAATTATTATGAAGTGTGACACAAACTGGTGGAAAGGAGAACTAAATGGTAAAATAGGCCTTTTTCCATCATCCTATGTGGAAGAATTATAGAAGAGTCTGTGATTAACTATGTTATATATAGCATACAATCAATTTTTTTCCTTTCTTTTTTTTATTGAAAGGACTTGTGAACCTCAGAATGGAAAATGAATAATTTTTCTTCCATGGTATATAAAATAAGAATTATATTTTTATATCTGAGTGAATTTATCAAATTATGTTTAAATAGTTTTTAAGCTTGATACTAATGATGAGAGTCCGAAAGGAATGATATATTGTCAAAGAAAGTTTATATGCAAGGAAAATTGTTTTAGATAATATACATTCCCAACTGTTTTAACCAAATAATAAATATTATTACCACTTTCATCATCCATTGAAGCTTTTACTGTGATTATGTAGATATAGTGTTTGAAAATGGGGTTACTACTGGTTAAGATTTTGTGCCAGCTGGTTTAGTCCTTTTTCCTGCAAAATTTTACAAGTAACAATTAACTGAATACAGTTGGTACACTGGTGCAGATGTATTTTCCATATAAAGCTTCACAATATAAGCTCTTGTAAACTAAATATTTGAGAAAGCATTCTGATTTGCTGTCAGAACATAAGTATTCTCATCCACTGGCAGTAAGTTAACGTTTGCTGTGTAGCTAACAAGCAACATGGTATGTGCCATTAAACATTATATTGGTCACAGTGTACATGTAGTATGTTCCAACACAACCAGGGAATATGATATACTCTGGTTCAGCAGCTAATGACATTAATACACTTTGCCTTCCAAAAATCTACAGTTAGAAACACATAAACCAAGGTTTTTCCATCAAATATTATAGCATGTATTTAATGTTGAGAAACATGCACATCCTTTCTTAGTACTGTAGGTAATAGATGAAATAAAGTATTAATTGGATCTCTTCTTGTTATGTACTCATATGCTTTATCATGCTCATGTCTTTCATCACTGAGTGAATTGACTGGATCAAATCTGACAAAATTTAGCCAGTCTGTGATTTAGAATCATTTAAGCATGTGATTAATTAAACCTAGCATGAAGACTCCCACTAAAAGTGCCTTCAATGTAAAAAGGTGAATGTTTTGAGTGTGAATATTACATAATTATGTACATAGCCATATGCATTTCGGGAAGGTTGATGATGAAAACATGTCATACTCAAATTAAAAAAATAAGAGAAATAATGGACTGTACTGAACAGAAGATCCACATTAATGTGAGCTTTCATACCTTATTACTTTGATACCAGTAATCACATACATATTAATATAGTAATTTTCAGTTCGGCATTAGTTGATTGTATATTTATATTGACAAAGGACATATTTAAAGTGGTTTGTGAGAAGGAAAAACCAGGCTGAATTTTGTCGTGTGTGTGTGCGCATGTGTGAGGGATGACAAAATTCAGTACTGATGCTTTTTACAAGTGACAGAATAAGTATTAGTTAAATTCCAATTACTTAACCAATATCGTGCTTGTATGATTTTCCAGATCTCCTGTTCTTGTACTAACATATCTGTTTTTGTTTAATCATGTATAAAGTATATAGCCAAGAAATGTTTGCTTATGTAATGTCATCTATCTAAACAAGTGTTTTAGACAAAGAAATTTCTTAAAAATTATAAGACTGAGACTTATGATAATAATGGCTGCAACTGTAATTTGCTAGTAGACTTGTGGTGACTCTTAGAAATTGTCCTTAACCCTAGAATAACCAGTGAAGTCCATTTGATTTCTAAATACATTTTTCTATGCTATTTATGTATCAAACTGTGTGTGTTTTCATAACATTGTTTGCTTGCAAAGTTTTAATAACATAAGATTCACTTATAAAAAAAAAGTATAAAGAATATTGACAGTATTACATTTAGTCTCAATAATTACTGGTGGGCTTTCTATGTATTTTACACAGAAAGTTTGTGATTTTACCCAGTTATTTTAGTGATTCTTAAAAGTGAGAATTGTGGAAAAAAACGAAACATAATATATATTTAAACATATATAATAATTTGAGGGTTAGCCTGAAAAAGAATCTATGTATATTTGGATAAATATTTCCTAATTCACTTTAGACTATGTTTTTTAAAACCTTCATAGCTTATTTTACTTCATTAGTGTACTGATTATTCAACTTAAATCAATAACATTGTAACTGTTGACAAAAGCACCTTAATTATTGCTGAAAATTCTGTATTAATCTATCCATTTTGGTGAACATTACACATTAACTAAGTCATCTGTGACTTTTTTTATGGGAATTATGCTGTATATTAAAGCTGCATGGATATAAATCTTATAACATTTAACTTGTATCTACATTTTATTCTTAAGTTAATGGAAATCTGGAAAATACCAGCAACTTTACCTAAATTAATGGGGATTAGTTTCTGTTATTATGTGAAAAGTTATTGTAATTATAATTACATGTATTTTAATAATATAAGCCTTTTTCACAATGGATCAACAGTCAATGCTGTGGGAGATTTAAAAATTTACTGTATAGTAACTAATATGGAAATGACATGCTATTGCTAATAGACAAAATTTGATATTTGGGTATGTGAAGTAAGCCACTGATACTGTGTAAATGTAAAAAACAACAACATATTACCTAAAATTAAATTGAGCTTTTGTTATTTGTAAAATTCCTATCTTCTTTTTCTTGATAATATATGAATGTTAGCTAATACCATTCAGAAACCAATTTTACTGTTTGTACATTTGTAATTAAATATAAATAATATTATATTTATGTCATTGAAATGTAAAATGTATAATTTTATAAGATAGTTTTCCTGTTACCTAAAATTGAAAATAATAATGCAGTGCGGAGGGTCAGGCTTGGCCTAGTGGTTAGTGTGCTTGGATTGTTAATCAGATTATACATAGTTCACTGCTTGTTGCTGCAAAGGTGTACTCTGCACTTTGGGGGTGTGGGTGTGCTATAGGAGTGATGGTCAAACCCCTTTATTCAGTTATAGTAGTAATCCAAGAGTTGGCGATGGGTGCTGTTGACCACCTGCTTTCCCTGTAGTGTATCGATTCAAAGTAAGGGATGGCTATATACAGATAGGTTTTTTGTGTAGCTTTTTATAAAAGTTCTGAAAATTATAGTAAAGTAAAGAACAGAGATAAAAACAAAAATAACATAACATAATGATTCTATCGTACTTACACGTAATAAAAAAACATAATTAACATTGTTTTATCGTACTTACACGTAATAAAAACATAATTAACATTGTTTTATCGTACTTACACGTAATAAAAAACAGAATTAATATTGTTTTATCGTACTTACACGTAATAAAAACATAATTAATATTGTTTTATCGTACATACACGTAATAAAAACAATTAATATTGTTCTATCGTACTTACACGTAATAAACAACAGGACTAATATTGTTCTATCGTATTTAGACGTAATAAACAACAGGATTAATATTGTTCTATCGTATTTAGACGTAATAAACAACAGGATTAATATTGTTCTATCGTATTTAGACGTAATAAACAACAGGATTAATATTGTTCTATCGTATTTAGGCGTAATAAACAACAGGATTAATATTGTTCTATCGTATTTACACGTAATAAAAACAGGATTAATATTGTTCTATCGTATTTAGACGTAATAAACAACAGGATTAATATTGTTTTACTTCAATGGCTCCATGTTTATTCATAATATTTGTATCTAATCTGAAGAAAAACAACTGAAAGTGAAACAACTCGAATAAAACCTTCTTTAAAAAAACGTCTGTAAAGTTATGATAGCGATTGATTCATCTCGTCCAATAACAGACGAGAAAAAAAAACTGAAAAATCCATAAACACTACGAGAACGTTTCAAATAACATAAGCAAATCAGATTCACAAATAAGTTAACTTATTGGAAATGGGGAGCTATTCCAGACGATTAATTAGACAAAACAAACAAAGATTTTCTATGCATTAGAAATTTTTGTACCAAACTCTTTAATTAACAAAACGTTTTTCATCGCGATACTCTCAAACACAGTATTACACTGGTTGTTAATCTCGTGCTACGTAGACACGATAACTTGCACGAGTTTGTATGGTCTGGGTCGCTATTTAGTCATGTGTTCTCGACCTGGGAGGTTCAAGTGACCTCTTCCTCCCTGCACGAGCTTGTAATTTTTTTTTGTTAGTTTGTTTGCATTTCGCATAAAAATTGCTCGAGGGCTATCAGCGCTAGCCGTCCCTAATTCTGAAGTGATAGATTAGAGAGAAGGAAGCTAGTCAACACCACCCACCGCCAACTCTTGAGCTACTTTTTTACCAACAAATAAAAGGATTGGCGGTTACATTATAACGCTCCTACGGCTGAAAAGGCGAACATGTTCGGTGACGGAATTCGAACCCACATTGCGAGTCGAGTGTCCTAACCACTAGGCCACGCCAGGTTATTTAAAAGATAATGTGCTGAACTACACCCTTTTTCCCTTAAAATATTAGTCCTGTTAAGTATAGCGTTACCAGTGATCTCGTAGTTTTGCCACACTCTATAATAGTTTGTAAGGATTCCACCAGGTTTTGAGTCTACTTATTAATCATGCGTTCAAGAGAAAGAGAATATTTCTTGTTCTATAAATAGGTATTTGTAAGATAGTATTTTTCGTTACCTCTTCAGCGTTACAGAACAGGGGGGAGAAGCCGAACGATATCAAATAAATTTTCTAATTTTGTTACACACCTACGGATCACATTGACAACCCCTTTGTTTCAATTTTCCGTTCTATTGTTGTCATAGTAACTTGACCAATTGAAACGCTGAAATGTAATGTACGAAGACTGAAGACGAGGTAAAGACAGTTCAATACACATCTCCAGTTTTACTCGACAAGACTACTGGTGGTGTATGTGAACATTCGTGAACTCCAGGAAATGACAGACTCGTAGTGATTTAATTACACATCTCCAGTTTTACTCGACAAGACTACTGGTGGTGTATGTGAACATTCGTGAACTCCAGGCTTTATTTAATATGTTTGTGTTATTAGAAGCACGCCCTTAGTTTCTTTAGGCTTCCAAACTTTGAACATTAAGGTTGAAAGTTTTATTTATTCCGTATTTTAATAAGACAACTTCGTTGTCGTAATGATCGTATCAGAACCCCGCCATTGGGAGAAAAATATTCGTACCTGAAAATAGAATTACATTGGTATAAGAGAATAATAAATACGACTTACAATATATCGTTCTACTCACCACTGGTCACAGAGTTACACCGGTTATGGGGAATCCCACCCCCTTAACCAGTAACCTTAAACAAGGGCAAATCGAAATGATAAGAATAGGGTTCGTATGGTGATGGAGTGGATATCATAATTAGGGGTAAAGAAATGTTTAAAAAAAAGCCATATAGACTCTCCACCACAATATGAAGCCTAGTTCTTTCGATTTGCTCATGTCCGGGGGTTACTGACGAGGGGTGGAATTCCCCAAACCGATATAACTGAGTGATAAATCGAATGATAGATTGGGTTTCAGATTTATTTAAAACAAATTGTCTGGCTAGAAAAAAAAAAGTTCACAAGAATAAATCAGTAGCATCAATGTTGCATATTCTTGAAATTCTCATACCAGATTTCTGTGTAAATAAAATATTTGAAAACAGCATACTATATATATATAACGTTTCTTATTACGTGATGAGCTGTTACAAATACTCTCACAAGCGACGATTTTCTTTTTTTTTAACACGCAAACATTATGCTATCAAGGTTATAAAACAGCTAAACGACGTCAACAGTCTTAACTTGCAAATGTGTTTTTTTTTAACTATTTATACCTTAAACTTTACCCTTTACAGTTGAGAGTTGAAGGGGGGAATCTTTTATCCTACAGCCCCCCCCCCCCCCAATTGAGGAT